TAGTGTGCATCGCGTGAAAAACGAATATTCTTTGTTTGTGCAAAGGAGTGTCAATACACTGTATCTCAGAAACGGAAAACCATATCACGGTCGCATGTTTTTTAAAAAAGAGCTGATCATAACGAGGAGAAAAGGGGCTGCATATGTAAGTGGCAACAATACTTCAAAAAGCGAAAAGAAAAGAGAAGATAAGAAAAAAAATACTCGACGAGACCTAAGTTACAAGACAAGATATGCGACGTAATGTGTAGTAGGGGGGGGGGGACAGGGAAATGCGGTATGCGATGCTCTCAAAAACAGTAATTGTCTCGTGTCGTTCGTGTGCGTGCGTGAAAAAAGTGTGAAATGATCTATAACGGGGGTGCGGGATGGCGGCAGAGATAGTAATCAGTCCAGCGCGGTCCGGGATCGCAATACAATACACAAGTGGTGGGTGATGGGCGTGGATGCAGGGTGGTGGTGGGGTATCAATGCGCGGCGGGGTGGGGTGTATCGCGAATGGCGGACGGTGAGGCTGGCGGACTGAATCGAGGCCGTGGCGTTAAGGTCCCGCGTCTAATACTGGTATACGTATGCTAGTAACGTTCAACAAGTGCGTGCGGGGGTGGATGGATGGGATGGATGCTGCAAATGCGGAGTGTGTAAGATCATTAAAAAATTAGGCGGGCACGCCCGGATTGCGATAGTAGTGTAATGGCGTGGGCGAGACGTGACGAGACGAGACAAATGGACAAGGGGTGGGCATTAAGAGCAGCGCATGAGACAATAAATCGTTCGTGTCATCTAGGTCGAGATCGAGTATGAATGGAGGCCGGATAAAGAAGGTAGGGAGAGAGGCGATAGGACAGGTGAAAGGCAGGGGCGAGGAGTCAGGGTCAGGCAATCGGCGCGAAGTCGGAGCATTTTTTTTGTGGTTTCTTGTTTCTGTTTCTGCGGGGGTCGGGGACAAGCGGGTGGAGATAAGAGGCACTAGCAGTCTAGGAGCCAGGGAATTACCACCAGCTCTGGGGGCCTCCTCCTCCTCCTCCGTTGCCGTAACCACTGCCATAACCGCCACCACCACCTCCATAGCCACCTCCACCATAAGCGCTCTTCGCGCCACCACCACCATATCCAGTTCCTCCTCCTGCACCAGCTCCTCCTCCAGCCCTGTAATCCCGTCCGCCAACGCTACGGGCTCCGCCACGGCCGCGGCCCCGGGATCCTCTGTACCCACCGCCACTGCCAAACGCCGCCTCATGAGCGACAGTCTCCAGCCACTGCGGAATCTCCTGGTTCGCCTCACGAAGCAGCTCCACCAACTCCCGGACAATGTTCCGGTTGCCGCGGTTGAAGAACGCCGTGCTCACACCCGTGTTACCCGCACGACCGGTACGACCGATACGATGGACATAGTCATCAATGTCGGACGGAAGATCGTAGTTGACGACATGGGTGACATTGGGGATATCGAGGCCACGGGCAGCGACGGCGGTGGCGACGAGGATGGGGGTGCGGCCGGTACGGAAAGTCTGGAGGGCCATCTCACGCTCGCGCTGGGTGCGGTCACCGTGGATGGAGGTCGCAGGGAGGTTGTTGCCCATCAAGAAGTCGCTCAGCATATCCGCCATGCGCTTCGTCTCCACGAAGACAAGCGTCAGCCCGAGGTTATCCTTGCCCTGGCTGGCAAGGATATCAAGAAGAACGCTGCGCTTGTCCCCATCCTCGACGTACTCGATCTTCTGCGTGATGTTCTCGCTCGTGCTGCCTACGCGGCCAACGGAGAGGAAGATGTAGTCCTTGAGGAAGTCCTTGGCAAGCATCTGGATGTCCCGGGGGAAGGTCGCGCTGAACATGAGGGTCTGGCGGTCAATGGTTCCAGGCATGTCTTCGCCCTGCACGATGCGCCTAATCTGGGGCTCGAAACCCATGTCCAACATGCGGTCGGCCTCGTCAAGAACGAGATACTTGATGTTTGCGAGACTGATGCGGCCACGCTCGATGAGATCAACGAGACGACCCGGGGTGGCGGTAAGGAGATCACATCCGCGTTCAATCTGGCGCAGCTGCTGGTTGATGTCAGCACCTCCGTAGACGACAGCGGGGCGGACCCAGGAGCGGTAAGCGAACTTGCGGGCTTCCTCGTGGATCTGGGAGACAAGCTCACGTGTGGGAGCAAGGATAAGGGCTGTAGGGTAGGCCTTGCGAGAGCGAGAGTAGCTCTGGGTGTTGGCGACCTCCGGGGCCGCGCTGGGGCCCACGGAAAAAGAAGCAGAGAGAATAGGGAACAGGAAACCTCCCGTCTTTCCGGAGCCGGTCTGAGCGGTGGAGCAAAAGATTAGTCAACCAGCATAAAATTTCAAATTCAAATGACATACCTGGGCACAGGCCATCAAGTCCCTGCCGCCAGCAACGATAGGAATAGAGTACTTTTGAACAGGAGTCGGGGTGGTGTACATAGCATACCCAATGTTCTCCAAAAGGACAGGGTCCAAGGGAGGGCTCGTGAACGACAGGACGGGTTCAGGGACGCCAGCGCCGGTGGCTTCTACAGGGATATCATCGTACTTTTCAAAGTTGATGCCGGTGTGCTGCTTGGAAGGGTCTGTAGCGTCGCCGAACAGTTCTTTCTCCATGCGCATGTTACGGCCGCCGACGACATGAACGCCGTTTTTCCAAGCACCGACACCAAAGGATTCGCGGGGGGCAGACTCCCGGTGTGCTGGAGCGCTCCAGTTAGAGGGGGCAGCGCCGGAGGCAGCCCAAGTGTTGGCTCCGCCGCTGGCCATGCGGGGCCCGCTGCTGGAGAAGGCACCACGACCGCGGTCATTATAACCACCACCTCCAAAGCCGCCACGGGCGGGTGCGGGTGGGGTAGCAGAGCGAGAATCAGCCCAGCCGGTTCTATGAGAAATAAATAGTCAATATGTGCTCGGTCAGCTCAAACAACCAGTTGTCTTACCCGTTCGTGGAAGGAGGAGGAGCAGCCCGCTGCGCATTCCTCATGTGAGGAGGAACATAAGCAGATTTAGTGAGTCCGAGAGCGCCTGTGAGTTGATTCGAATGAGTAAAAATGCGGGGAAAAACTAGATTCGCTGGCAGGACTCACCAAATTGACCCTCGATACCCGTGGAACCGTTTACAAGACCATTTGTCATATTAATGTCGAAGGGAAGTTATAAACCGAAGTCGTAGCAAGGGTTTGTGTTTTTAGGGAACTTTTCGTGTGGTGGTGAAAAGAAGAAAAAAGGTCGATCTAAGGGGGGATGATGGGGGTTGTTGATCAAAGACGTTGCTCAAGAAAAAAAAACAGCGAGCTCCAATCCCTCCTTGCTTACTCATCCGCCCGAATTCTCACGCACCGCTGTGGCGTCGCTTCATCGCCTCCATGACGCCTGGCTTCCACGATGCCCTGGATCATCCCAGCATCCTCAATTCATCTCCCTCTAAAGCCGTGCTGGACAGGGGACTGACAGATGGGGTGCTCCACTTGTATGATTCATTTCGTACTCATCTACGACTAAGCTTTCATCCTTATCGCTATCGTTACGTCCAGGAGCAACCCCATAACGCCCCATTCGCATAAGTAGAACCCATCGTCGAACAACACACACTCCACCAGACTCCACCCAGTTAGCGACGAGTACAGCAACGAGCTGCATTAATTTGTGCGTCCTCCCCTGGACAGCTGCCGGTAGTTCGTCCCCGTCGCACCATTGTAGCTGTCAATGTTCATCGTAGTGAACTGGAATAGCGCGTTCAATGCGTGATAGTCTTGCTTCTTGTTGTTCAGCGTAAGCGTTCTGATGATGCCGCCATCACAATTCCCTCAGAGAACATCTCGACGTGGGGCGCGTTGCATGGAGTCCGACTACTCAGCTGAACGCCGTCCTTGGCTTTGGTCACATTGTGCCGAGAACAGAACCCAGACGGGATCGGTCGTTCCAGAATTGTTGGTCAGCGCGTAGTCCGTGCCAGGATACGACGCGAGGGTTGCATCCAAGTCGGTCTCGCCATTGCTGAGAGCAGCAACAGCAATTCTAGACGCAGCAGCGAAGCGTACAGCGGAAAGCGAGATTTTCATCCTGGTATCCGGTCAGCTTTTAGTGTTACGCTTCAACTGGGAAGACTTACCTGTTGTACTTGCAGAACGAACTGCCTTCCTCTCCTCATCCTTCCAGGTATTTATACCGCTCCTTCGAAATACCAATGCCATGGTTGGACGGTGTTCGTAGACTCGAGTAGCGTCTCCTAAGCTTTCAACGACCATTTGGTCTTGGCCAGGAACCAGGACCGCGCTCTTCATCAGCTCTCTCGCCGGCCCACGCTTGTCGATTGTCATACGCGTCAGTACAAAACATATTCAAAATCCAGATGGGCCGACTTCACCTCCATACTGCTCGTTACCTATTCTTGTTTCTCCATCCTATCCTCAGCTGCTGCCATTCTGCGCCAATCGCTTCACCCATCCCGCAATACCCATCCCGGAATTACACCAACACTCGTAACATCCGCCGATCATCCTTCTGCATGTCGTTCCTTTCCCAGCGTACCGCTGTGTCCGACGACGCCCCATAGCAGGATTTGTGGACATTCTTCCGCGAAGATGAGTCTGCCTGAGCGGCCGCATATAGCTTGGTAACGCTATCGAACCGCACCGGACAAGGATGGCTTAACAATCGTCTAAAGTATCCAAACTCGTGGAAATGCTGGACCAGGCTTTATTGGTTGCTCGTTTCAGTAGTTCTTTGTCGATCTGTCTCGCTTGTGGGATGTTCTCTATGTTCATGAACACAATTTCAGGTGCCGGAATCAGCTTTTACCACATATTTACGCGTCCAAAGATATCCCGACCGTCTGACTAGATCTATAGAATATACCTACCTTCATAAATGAATTATAATGAATCGCCGCCCGGATCTCATGAATCATGGGCACGTTTATCTCTAGACTCTGCCTATGTCTTTAAGCAAAAACAAAAAAGAGATAAAATGAAAGTGGTATGTCTAAACATCACCCATAGCCCACCGCGAGGGTCGAACTCGCAGCCTTCAGATGCCTACTTCTTCGTAAAAGTCTGACGCTCTAGCCGATTGAGCTAGGCGGGCTCTGTTGAGGTGCACTGCCGATGAATCCAAATCGGTGACGATGGAATCATACTTGGATCTGGTGCACAAGCGCTGTGAATTTTTTTCAAAAGCAGGTCGAAAAACATCATAGCTCACTGCCATGGTCGGAATGGCACGTCATATGCCTACTATAGCTACGCCTTTGTCAAAGTCTGATGCTCTGGCGGATTGAGCTAGCTGCTAGGCGTACAATGCAAAGTTCAAACTTCAGGAGAGCCTGGAGAAGCGTTGATACGCGCCTGTTGCGATTCCGCCAAAAAAAACTTCCAAAAACTTGCGCGACGAATCGATTGTTTTATAGCCCACCGCGAGGGTCGAACTCGCAGCCTTCAGATACACCCTGCCTAAGAGTCTGACGCTCTATCCGATTGAGCTAGGCGGGCGTTGTAGAGTGGACTACGCGAGTCCTTGGGTCCCCGCCGCCTGGTAGTGGTGTGAGGGGGTGGAAAGTGATAGAAACGGGAAGTCATCAACTCATACATGATGCATCATCCTTCATTGTCAAGTATCGACCTCAAGGATGAAGATATCACCCGCCCGGTTCCCAAGTACAATCCTGCCACCAACTTCTCCGATTGCACAATGCGTCAAATCCTCTACGAGAAACAGAAACCAGTGCGTGAGCTTCCAGGAGGTACGTTGATCCTCAATCCACCCACCTCGTAGATCATACGACTGGATGCGGTATACAACTTTCCCGGGAATCAGGATCCCATCCTGCCCAATTCCGGGTACCTGGTTCCACACGAGCACCTCACGCAAAGTGCTCCCGCGCTTCCTCTCCACCCAAACCGCCCGTTTTCCCTTAGGACCGAGCGCCATCGTGCTGAGGAACCCTCGGGAACTTGTATTCGCGCTTGCACTGCCGCTAGTTAGCCCGAAAATGCCCATATGCAGCGGTCGCACAATAGAGTCAGCTGGAGCAGGTGTGAGATTCGAGAGCTGCGCTGGGGCTGCAGAGGCGATGCTGAGGGCCGACGCGGACGAAGAGAGTGTGAAGAGTGTATCCATGTTGATGTTGTCAGCCATCGGGTATATCCCGATGCAGTCGACATCGAGCGACGCGTGGCCGTCTGGCAGAGTGGATATGAAGGAGACAGAGACGTTGAATTGGAACATGCCCTGCAGGAAATCATACCCGAGGAAGCTGAAGGACAAATTCCCTTCAGTCACAACACAGTCAGACGAAGACAGTGATCGAAATGTGAGGGTAGAGAATTGGTGTTTTAGAACTCGAAGCTGATGGCTATTTGATGTCGCTCGTCCTTGAAATCGGTGCGCCACCAAGGGATGAAGCTCGATAGATCGCGATTTGAACAGCACAATATACGGGCCCATGATACGTGAACCGACCACCCCATTTAACTGAGAAACACGTCAGTGAATGTGGACCATTCTTACAGATTTAAAGAGTTTACCAGTTCATCTAAATCATCGGTTTGCGTTGATATGCTCATCAGTGTGTCGATAGTTTTCCCACTCGTGTCTAGGGGAGAGGAACCATCTAATCCGTTGATGGTGGTAACGTCCACGGTGTTCGCGCTGGACAGGATTAAAAGCTGCAACGCCGGTTCTATGGTCCTCGCTATTTGCGCTATCGGGCTAAACAGTGTATGCAAAAGTTGAAACTCGTTCGGGTCGAAAATAGACTCGGAGTGTCGTAGCTGAACACGATAGACTCGTGTTATCGCTGGTCTGACATCAATGCATCCATAAGTCTTGTATCTGCGCAGGGTTAAAAAACCCTCACATCGATGCCCGTGTCAAAGCTAGTATGACGTGTCCATTTGAAGGACAAAGAGCTGAAACGATGGAAGCCCAGTTTTTCGACCCCAGATCTAAACTGGCACTGCGACGCATGTGGGATGGCGTCAAGTCGCTGGAAGGCCTCGACGCGCAGATATCCCAAAGATAAACCAAGCCTTCCGAGTAGGCGCATAGTAGCCATCGGTCTAGAAAGATCTCGAAACTCAGCAAAGAGTCACCTGGTTTCGGAGTCAGCTTTATGGGCTGTTGGGTGCGTGGATGGGCCCATGATCGGGCGATGCGGTAGGCGCTTACAACACCAGATTCTAAGATATAATCTGGAAGCTCAAACGATGGCTCTGAAGGAGGATGGAGTGCGACAGAAGGGGAAAGGTGTGACGGGAGTGGGAGAGTTTTTTGCTGTTGACGGAGGAACGCGAGCCACAGCAATCGAGTCTGTGTGATTTCCCCAAACAGGGTGCATGTCTGACGTTGATTGGGTATTAGGATTTCGTAGATGATACAGGGCTGCAGCTGAAGTACCTGTCGCAGGCTAAGAACTTGCGGTACGTCTAGAAATGATACAATATGCAGGATCAATTCACCCGGAAGAAGAAGAAATTTCGAGGTCTCCATTATCAGTCAAACCAGATGAGAGTGTCTAAACCAATTCGGCAATCCCTGGGCTGGTGAACCGTCGTAGATGAGAAGTGCGAGGTGGAAAGACACTGGACAGTGACCGATTGACCTTGGGTTGCCCGTTCACCATTTCGGATCATTCCTTCATCATCTCCGATCGTGATGACGCAAAAAAGTCGACTCAGGTCGACTTGTCAGTCGCTCCTATGCGGCAGACACAATCAGTCGTTCCTCCGTTCTTTAACTCGCTGCTTGCTTTACCACGGCGAGAGAGTTCCCAAATATCTACCGTTAAACAGACCTTGCTTACACCCCTACACCATCGAGGTCCATCAGTTCTTCGGATTTTTCTTCATGTCGGTCGGGCTGATTCGAAACAGAGGACACTTCGTCGCTAGAATCTTACTACTCCGGTACGTCTCCCGTCGATTTTCCTTTTTGTGTCCGCCTCACACATGCCTCAGATATGTATGTCGGTCGTATCGTCTACACCCAGCAAGCGGGGGTTCAGTGGCATAGACAATTAAATCCTGCCCGAAATGAAATATCGCCTTCAAGAACACGTTCGGGAGAAAGAATCCTGCGGTCTGCCCATCCTTGACTTTGTGACCCATGTCTGGGTAATCAGCAGCGACGTCGGGCTACATATCATCTCGCAAGAGTGGACGTTACGGTTACCGCCGGAGCCCCTCACGCTTTATACATCGCCATTTTCTGGCATCTCCGACGCCTTGTTTCAAGCAACGAGGAAGGCGGTTGGTGAATTCCTGCATCTTCATGGGGAAGACGACCTCCGTACGAAAGCAGCGTTTGGGGCCTCACTCTATATCTCGCACGATCTATAAGCGAAAGTTCTCCAGAGTCCTTTGACCGACCGTAAGCCAGATTTGCTCTCGGTGGATAAAGAGGCCATCCAAATCACATTTATATGGTCCCTTGTATGCCAGGTTATCGAGTTCAGACGAAGGTCAAAAGAAGGACAAGAAACCTATGTTACGACCTCATCAAGCAGCTCCGTCTATTCTCCCCTCACCCTTGTTAACGAATCGTCTGCCGTCTTTTCATCCTCTGGTGTGCGCTTTCTGCGAAGCTCAATGGTCGCTACTCTGAGCTCAGCATCAAGAAAGGAACGTAGTCGAACCTCGAAAGTCAACAGCACTTCTGCAACCTCCTCGGCGAGTATCAGTCGGTAGGGAACCATCTCCGGCTAGCAGCCTCAAGCGTAAACGCGGGGGAAGGCAGGATAGCAATAATTCGAAGCGTCTCCGAGCATTCAAGCAGGTACCTGAGATTTATCACCGCGCGCCCTCTAGCTTGCGATTTGCGCTCTGGAATGTTTGGATGCATCGACCTGTCATATTATATCTTTGGTTTTTTCGTCGATATCAAGTTTCTCCGTGGTACTATGATGGCTCATGTCTCATCAGCACTGTGACGTTCAATTTTGGCGCAATTCCAGCATGCTTGCCCTCGTTCCATATGCGGTCAATGCCTTCGACGACAGACACGCTGGTTTCAATCCATCTCCCTTCCCTCCGCCACTCCTCCCTCTCCCAAGAAGCGTAATAACAAGCATGGTCACTGGCAGAAGGTCGTCGACTCTGAGGCTCACCTTCCCATCTCCGAAGTATATCCCGCGCCTGGAAATTCCACATCGAAGATATCCTATTCGCATATCGCGGTCTCCTTGTGCGTGGAATCATGATGCGCAAGGTGGCGCAGCTGCTCAGGAGATCCACAGTCATTCGACATTGCGCATGGGTTCAAGGAGGCGTTTATTATTTCGAGCAAATCTAAGGAGCGCTCACGAGATGGAGACTTGACGAGTACAACATACGGGCTCTGCACATTACTAGAGCCGACAATGCGATTTGACTAGGGGACGCACTAAGGCGAGAAAGGTCACTATACTAATAGCTAGAGGCTGTTGCCAGTTTGTCCGTTGAATCATCCGTTTGCGTTAATTACTCATCCTCGAGTCAATAGTTTTGCCACTTGTATGCGATGTACTTAGAAGAAGCATCCGGCGAGGTAATGACGCTAACAACACAGAAGTGTTCGCCCTTGACAGGAGCATATGTTGTAAGGTCAGTTCCATCGTCCTTGCTATCGGCGTTACCATGGAAAGAATGCGAGACACCGCAATCGAGCTGGTGTGATTTCGAATGTGGCTTGAATGTCGTGAATGATGCGGGGCTGCAGCCAACCTGTTGCAGGATAGGTATTCGCAGAAGGTTGAGGTGATAAGATATGCAGGATTAATTCACCCAGAAGAAGAGCCTCTGATGTGCTGAGACTGCGTGTTCATTATCGCCATACCAGCCGAGAACGTGTGAAACGAGTTCGTAAATCCTTCGGCTAGTAGATTCTGGATCTGGAGAACAATGGTAGGACAATGGTAGATCTAGAAGCTGAGAATACAAGGTGCCAGTGATAGGCGAGGATCTCGAATATTTTATTCGAGTCATCATCGCCTGGCCCAACGGTTGACCCTTTCAAGAACTTGGCGTGAAGCAAATCTGCTTTGACTCTAGAAATGAGCATCTGGTCAAACTGAGGGAGGAGAGTCCAAGAACAGTCTTCCACCAGACTAG